GTTCGTCAGATTTTGATCCATCTGCAGGTAAAAAATGTACTGCCGACCAACCCGCAATGAAAGCATGGGACTGGGACATAGCGGTATAATTAGGGCTGGATTCTGTTCGGTTAATTGAAGGCTTGCAAAGCAGCAGACGGCTTGCGCTAGAGGCTTGCGAGCAGGCTTGTGATTTGCTTAGCCTCCCGCTTGCTACCGGGGGGAACTTCCGGTGAGTTGTGACTCGCGGACAGTCCTGCTGTACTGTGTCGTGACGCCGCGAACCTTCATTGCTGTGGGCTCAGTACATATTACAAAAGATTCTCTGGTTATTTGCGTTGAGAGGCTTGCACCAAAAGTGCAAGATCGTTTGTTTTTTTACATAGTTCGGTTGTAAAAAACAAAAAGCTCTATTCAATGCACTTAAAAATTATTATTGGATCGGCTTTTCTTACGATGTTAAGGCCTGTTTATTTTAAATGTGCACGAGCCAAGCGCTTCATCGTCGCACGCAAAAGACCTCAGTTCAATACCCGTATGGAGAGAAATTTTTACTGAGAACCTCCGTCTTTCTGCTGGGGCGTTGTTCCCTCTCAGCCCAGGTTGGTCCTGACATTGGGTTGAAGTAGGCCTAGCCCGTCTCCTAAATGTTCTGTATTATGTCAGTGTGAGTGTAACACATCTACAAAATAGGTTACATACATCCAATACAAAAGCCAATCACAACGACCCCAGGAGTTTTCCATTCTAGGGTAATGTAAGTCTACTTATTCTTATTACTACCAGAAACCTAGGTCTCTGTTACTACAATACCACGTTCCCTCTCATTTATCCACTCGCTTAGCTGATCAACGGCGGGAAGTTAAAAATAACATCTCTCTCTTCAAAAAAACAAGCCCAGCCTCTCCCTTCCTCCACGGTTCAAAGTTCACACAGTGAGCGGTACTGCTATTTGAACACATCGAGGGGTATTGTCGCCATCGAGCGATCCTGCACCTGCTGCTCGCTCGCTCTTATCGAGACAGCATAAGTCAGCAGGTCATGTTTCGAGCTTGTCCTGGGACAATTCACTAGGCCAAGCGCAAATCAGTAGTGTGAATCGTGGGACTTGTTGCTGCGGACGGGATTTGAGACTTGCGGCTGTCCGCTGCTTTGCAAAGCCTTCGATTAATCGAGCAGACTACAGAGCTACGTCGCGCAGTGACACTGTGGGCGGGATCTCTCACTCTCCCCCTCTCTCTTTTTCTGACGTAAGTGGCTTCGCGAATTGCAAGCAGGGTGGGGATGACGAGGGGGTCTGACATGAGTGGCTTCGCGGATTGCTAGTTTCTGTGGACTTGAAGTTTAGACTAGACCAAGGAGGTTACAGTTTGCGCTAGACTGAACTTATCATGCTGGTGATTTGATTTGATGATTTGACCTAGTGATTTGAGGCTTGTGACTTGAACTAGGGGCTTGCGAGCACGAGCGGGTTTGCTACCGGGGTACAGCCCTAGGTATAATGGCCGATTGCAGGAAATGCGCAAGTTGGCAGGTTTCTATAACTTGTTGCCGAGAGAATTATCGTAAATATCCGTAGCTTATACAAAACGATACGAAGGCGAGTACGGAATTTCGGCAGTCTTACGCTGTCGCAGATTTTTTTAACGGAGGGAGTTGATAATGATGGAGGGACAAGTACGGAACTGGCAGAAAGTACGTATTTCCGTAAAAATACGGAAAAGTGGAAGCACTGTCAAACCCTAAAATCGTACTAAATACGTTTTTTACGGTACTACTTGGCAGCTATGAACATGGTTCTCGTAT